AAATGTAAAAATGAATGGGATAATTGCTATTTCTTATTGGTTATATGACTCAATGATTCTGCCTACAGTCGACTTAATTATCTTGATAATTTGCCGTAAAAACACATTAACATCGAAAGGGTTTTTGCAGATATTATAGTCATTTAAATAGTTGAGATAATAAGTCAATCGACGCTAGACCACCATGGAAAACCTGGAAGCACTGAACGGTCGTTTCGTCACATTGTGGAACTCCTCAGCAATGCACATCCGAGATCCCATCTCGCGAGATTCGAACTCAAGACCTATCGGTCTCGCGCACCGACGCCTAACCACTAGACCACGGAGCCGGCCGGCATCCAACAGTGGTAATATCTGACCTCAACTAATCCACAAAATTGAGCGACACATTCACCATATTTAGACCATTGCATTTGGCTATCTTAGGAATATAAATAAGTAATCAATCTCATTGTGGACATGATTAAATGACATAATATAGTAATTCAGAAGTGTCTACAGCTAATGAATGAATTTAGCAAATCCTATCAGATATTTCAGATTGTACACTTTTATTAATGATATTTTACTCTAGTTGCAGTTCAGAGTTTTTGAGATGGTGAAGAAGATTTGTAGCTCAGTTGGATTAATTTGTGTGGAATTTTGTTCTTTGAGCTGGATGGTGCGGTAGTGAAGCTTTCATCGTTCTTCTGAACGATATCATCAAGTAGACTTCTTCAGGTGACTTCTACCTGAAGATTTGTGCTGATGATGTCGTTCAGAAGAATGATGAAAGCTCCACAACCAAACCATCCAGTTCATAGAATAAAACTCCAACAGAATTCAGAGTTTCCAATATGGCGGGCATAAATAAACGATAATAATTAAGTAAGAATATATGTAATTAATCAGTATATTCTTAACAACCAGTTAGATATAAAGAAATTCATTGTCGTTTACTTCTCATGAAAAGAAGAATCCAAAGTAGTCGGTCACCAAATCATTAAATAAGAACTGATTAAAGTACTTTCATCATGATAGAGAAATTTGTGGGATAAGTTCAATTTGGTGATATTTTTTCATTATGGGATGTGTTCAATTTATAAAACTTTGGAAGTAGCACTAGTAACAACTAATTCGATAGTGAGTACTCACACCGGACTTAACCACAGATGTAATTAGTACTTGTATTTTTCTCAGCGAATTTATTATGTCCAGACTATCAATTCAAAAAAAAGTATACAGGATATTCAAAATGATTGAATTTCATTGGTCAATGGTTTTTAATCGAATTCTGAAAATCTATCTGGAGTTACTTATAGCGGGAAAACAGGAATAATATTTCAGTGATGGGTTTATTGTTTTATGATCATTAATTCATTTCAATATTGTGAGAAACGCAGTTATGAAATTGTAAACAGAGTTGGATGGTAGCTAGTAGTGGAGTCCAGGATGCATATTTCGTCTTATCTGGCACTCATCAGCTGGATGTACCTACATTTGAGTTGATCTTCACTCTGGAAATTCAATTTAGTACTGTTCACTTCAAATCCCATTGCGTTACCCACATAGCTACTGATTTTATGGAATAGTGATGTACATAAATAAAAAAGCCACTGATCATTTACAGTCCTAAACACCATACAATATATATGAATTTAACTCCACCTCATTGCACAATCTACTGACTATCTGAACTTAGTAGCCAAGGGAATTATGCAATGACGTTTGAAGTGCACGTTACTGGGTTCGAGTTCCGAAATGAACATCAACTGTGGGATGCAAATACATACAACTGACAAGTCCCAAATAAGACAAAAGTGGTGTTCGGATTCTGTTGCTAGCCACTATCCATCTCTGTTCATCACGACTTGCAATGCTGACCTGTGTAGATGAAGGTTGGTGCCAAGACGTGGCACTAATTCATGAAGTCACCATTTTCTGGTCTTAGCCATGTTGGTAGATGTAAACTAATTGGTTGTTGTTCGCGTGAATATCGTAACCAATGGATGGAGACTGGGTAATATGGCCCAGAATCGATCACAATGGTGTAGATGAATACACCATTTGGTTTCCTTTAAACTATGTGATTAAAATTATTTCATATCTTTCATTCCTGTACTATATCCTCACATGCAATCTTTCTTTTATATATTGCCACAACTGAATTAACTACCTTTATGAATTTGGTGTTCATCTTGATGTGCTAATGAGGTTATGGCGACTTGGATTGAAGCATATATATGCCTGGTCCTACCTTGTAACTGACTGACTGACTGACTAATGACAGTATTGAGGCGATTCGCACATGATGTATATATACTAAAAGACACTGGTCAATCACTAATCTTTCACATCAATGCGAAGATTCAAACAACCGATACAAATCAATTAATACAATATGATTAATTATAAAATGTAATTCCTAAAAAATACAAAGAAGAAAACAAACATCGACAATTATGACTGTCTACAATAAAACTTGATATTTATAGGGTATCAACTACTTATGTACATGAATTACAAAGACCATTCATTGCAGAAGAACATTTTTGACGGAGTTTTGTTCTCTGAGCTGGATGGTTTTGTCATGGAGCTTTCATCAATCTTCTGAACGACATCATCAGCACAAACTTCAGATAGATGATGAAAGCTCCACGACCAAACCATCCAACTCAGAGAACAAAACTTCATCAAAATCATCTACCTCAGCTACAAATCTTCCCCACCATCTCATTACCTAAGAACATCAAATAAATATTAAACCATATTACAAAATGTATGTCTAATGTTAGATTAGTACACTTTCAATGAACAGTTCAAAGGGATATCTACAATTGTATGTGATATAATCCATTCAATTGAGTGCAAAATATCTATGAACTAAACTCTTATTATCAATATTTCAGAATGTTAACAAACATAAAAAGAAAAACAAACTTTAATTTATTCTTCGATTTGATTAATAAACAACTTATGGATAATAATTAAACTATCATTTTCACTATGGATTATTATTATTCAGATAGCTATTGTAAACCAGAGAAAACTCATTTATTCTGAACAGTAGTTAGCAACATTTGTTGAAAAACCTTTACATCAAGCGAAAATTTCTCCAGGTAAACGTAGAGTAATTACATACACCGACTCGGCTAGACAACATCCAATCTCCTGTTTCATTGTTTTTCTAAATACTGCATCAGCCACTTCGTTAGCATTGCCTTAAATATATCGTATACGAGACATAAAGTGGGTAATAAATTCTAACTGTCAAATTTCCTTAGGAGAACAATTATCCTGCTTGACGCTTAATGCTTTCGTTCGTTCATGATCTGTGTACACAGTGAAATTTGTACCTTCTACCATATTTCGGAAATGCTTTAGTGTCAAGCAAGTTGCTAGTGATTCTCTTCTGAACGTCCTATAAATTGTTTGAGAAGGGTTCAATCTCTTGGAAGAAAATGAAAGTGGTTCCTATGTGTCATTTCCTAACTGCTGTAATACGGATCATACTGCCACATTCGATACATCAATCATGTTGACTAACTGTATTTTGCTCTTGCATCTGACTAGTATCCTACTTTCATTTAGTATTCGCTTGGTTTTCTCTAATCCTTGTATAGCCTCTAATGACTGATAGAATGTCCGGGTATGTCCACTCAATGCGTCCATCAGTGTTTTTAACATTGTCGCACAGATCGGGATAAATCGTCTATAATACTTTATTAGCCCCAGAAATCGTGGTTCGGGTAACAGATATTCGCAAATAGCATCGGCTTCCACTGGAACTGGCGTAACAGTTTAGTACTAAGATGGAATTATTCTATGTTAGTATTGTGTTTGACAATAAATATATGGGAAGCGGTTACAGTTAATTTCAGTGCTGAAATGACCGATTATCTGAGTATATAGTGATTGCGGATCGACTGAATGAGCGAATTTCACATCTGATCATCTAGTCAAAATTATCACTTCGACTGAACACAGAACAGATTTTGATGTTATGAATTTATACGGTATCTAATTTGTTTACAGTTGAAAATCGTGTATGAATGTAGACAGTTGATGTGTAAACACTTCACTGTGCATCAATTGTCCATCTCACCTTGTACACTGAGTTATATTGCAAGTGAATTTGGAACAAAAGACATGTTTCCAGTCATCCAACTATCACCAATTCTTTTACATCATATCATTTTTTGATCATTTACTTATTGTTGCATTGTCATTTTAATTTACTGTTTTCACTTTAAAATGCTAACTGCACAAAAAACGAATTATTTTGAACGGTCGTTGATAGAAAATGAACGTTTTTGCGTTAGTTACTGAATATTAATGGGTAACATAAAATAAAACTTAAACTAGGTATTAAAATCTAATCAAGAATAAATGCATTACCATATTTAATAATTCCCGTGTATATTTCAAGTGTAAACTAAAATTGATGGTGACTTAGAGAAGAATCCAGGATTCATACTTTGTTCATTTTGGAACTCATCAGCTGAATGTGCTTGAAACCAGAGTTAAGATTCACCTGATAAATAAGTGGATGACGCATTGGTGTTTGGAGCAAAAGCTAGTACATTTCAATCTAGTTTCAAGTGACTCATGATCTCAATTATTAAATTACTATAATATCCACAAAAACCCCTTCTGATATTCATCAAAACATGTTCACTTGTGGCTTGCACCAAGATATATTTCCTGGGTTCTAGTGAGAAGCAGTGACCAGTGGAGTTCAACCAGGTCTGTTGTGAAATAGTAACTTACTGACGACAATGTTGGACGGTGGCTCAATTTCCTGGATTAGTTGGAGTTAGACAGTGGTCTGGAGGTTAAGTGTTCACGCGTGAAACCGACATGTCCTGGGTCCGAATCTGGTGTGAACATGAAGTGATAAAGTCTTTTTTTATTGGAAGAACTTAAAATATATTCACTGTGATTGAAACGTGTCAAACATGGTAGTTCAGGTAATTGGTCAATGTTATTTGAATCATATATTTTCATGTATTATCAACAGACTAAGTGAAAGTTTAATAACAAATAAATCACAATTTGTATATAAATTAAGCAAATCACGTAGACGATATTTTCTGTTTTTTATTCTTCATTCATTTTTTTATTCAATTAAAATCAGAGTATTCTATTCAACTTATTAAATATTCTATATTCAAACACCTTGATGGGTAAGTAACTATTATATTCTGACGTTTATTCATGGTATATATGTTGGTAATGATGGAAATGGGCCATGTAGACCGTATACATATTCTTTGTGTGATTTGTGATTTACGCATGAAGAAAGTGTCTAGTGCTCGTCGGGTTTTTAGTGATACACCTAAATGTGTTCACTTTTTTGAAGAATATCAGAAATAAATTGAACCAGTGTTTAAAACTTATCTTCAACAACCTTGAATATTGATGCCGGTAAAATAGTTGGCAAGCGGACAATATTTATTTTATTATTTAAACACGTAAACATTCGTACAAGGAAGCATCAAACAGATACGCGCCACACAAATCATTCGATTTATATATGGGCTGGGATACTGAACGAGTGCAAAAACCGAACCACGTGGTTTTCTTACGCGGCCACACACAGAGCTTTTGACCTCAACATCTAATCCATAAGGCAATTGAGCAACGTCAGCAGATGTAGTCTCATGGTAGTCGGTAACCAACAATAGGTTCACACACCATTTGTTCCCTCAGAACACTGGAGATCATGTTCATCATTGGTTTGTAAGCAGGGTTTGCCAACTCGCCTAGGGAGATTCTCCATATCCACGAACCCGGTGGAAGTGTCAGACATTCACTTTACGTCCTCTCAATTTTGTTAAACAACAGTAATGCTATGAGAAGGCGATGAGCGGGACTTCCCTGACAGTAGTTGTATGCACATGGCCATATGAGAGCATTTCGAGAGGGAGAGTTGACTCTCCCTACTCTCGGCCGTACCATGGAATTTGGAGGCTATGATATTTCAACAGTCTGTAACAATAGATAGTTTCCAGTTTGAACTTGTAACACTTAAATAAATAGAGACTGAAGCAGTTATATAAATCAGTTCACTTGTGATACTTTATGTAAATATCATATACTATACTAACCGAGTAGTTTACTGTATTGATTTGAGCACAATTCTTTTGAAAAATTTATACATTTTATACACAATATAAATCACAGTAGTAGATGAATGTTGGACAGGTTGCTTACAAGATGCTTTTTTTGGAATCATTAGTAAATTAAGTTTTAATAAACCTCAAGTAAACTTGAACTAACATCTATCATTATTTCTTCATAGTAACTAATTCTCTAACCAATTCATCATTCAATAACATTTGATTGTACAGTTTTAGTAAATAAAACCCAAAAAATAGACGGTTTTCCTACTCACTGCGGGGGTGTTGTTTAAGAAATTAAGAGGCTGAAAGACGATTATCCGGTACTTTACCAGGACTGGTGGACACGAATATTCCACCTAGGGGAATCAGAAATTCTTTATTCCAAATCTATGGTGCACACAGGCTTCAGGATCTTGAAAGGGCGAATGGCGTATGAATCCATTGTTGGTCACCGACTACCATGGGACTGCATCTCCTGACGTTGCACCACTGCCTTATGGATTACATCTCCAGGGTAAACGTTCAAAGTAAAAAAGCTGTCCCATGCTCTTTAGCTCCCAACACTGGTCCTGTTCAAGTCAATCCATGATTTAAAGTATCTTGAAAATCCTTTTCATTAATTTATAGTCTTAAATTTTATTTGAAGGGTACTTTGGTAATCAAAGCATATACCTAACTAAATACTCAATCTGTTATTAAATCATAAGGTCTAATCTTGATATTAGATGACCTTAAATCACCTAGCACACCTTAAATCAGCTACTAGATAATTTGATATCACTAAGGCTGCTATGTGACACTTTGTGTTATAACTGTGATTTTTAATTTTTTTGAAGTATTAAGTAATTAATTGATTATATGCATGTTTTTCAAATGATTAATCAAATTATTTCACAGAATTTTGTTTATTCAAATGTTTCAAGTAAACCCGTTTAGTTCTATAGTTTTTATTGCCGATTGATATCATCTGAAGGAACTCGATGGAATTTTTAAATCAAGGCCCAAACCTATGCAATCAAAGCTAATATCAAGTGTGTTTATGGGTGAAAAGCTAGACTACAACGAAATAATGATGATTATTAGATTCTACTAAGTTGGAAATATCGACCATCCGCTTATCAACTAGTAACTCGAAAACTTTTTATGTTTTTCAATAAGCCTGAAGTTCCTAGAGTTTATCTTGTGTGACGTCTTGTGCTCGCAAAGTTATGAGACACAAAAATGGTACACGATAAACAGCCGAAACTTTAAAATGATCTTGTTTTAGTGAGTTTTTAATGTTTTAGGTGTGAATAATGACTGAAGTTATAAAAATAACTTAATACATGAGAATCAACTAAAAACAAGCACTTGCCGGGTCTTGGTCTCAGTTTAATCAGACAATACAGGATTCACTACTGAAAATATGTAATCAATGAGTTTCTATGATTTGAAAATACAACATGAGTAAGGATCAGTCAGTTACAAGTCCATGTTTATTATTTGTTAAAGGCAGCTAAAAAATCCTTGTAAACCTGGGAACATTAGAAATATTTCGTCCGAGTTCGTGACTAAGCACCAATATACTAAACATCAATATAAAATTAATTGCACTATCAAACTTGAGGAATATCGACCCCCGAGTTCCAAATGGATGATCTAAAAATGTAAGCAGTCTCTGTGGGGACCAATGGTCCTGGATCAAATATTTAACAGGATCGTGTATACGTACTGTTAAGAGCCCTTGGTGATTTATTTTAGTCAGTAAACGTTCTCCATTTTTCCACTTCAGTAGCAGGAAGCCTGAATATCAAAATCAAACTCAAACATCACATATTACAACATTTTTCTATCGACATCTCTCGATAACTGAGATCATATGGAAAATATGAGCATTTAAGAAATGTCTAACTGAAATATAAAAAACGATTGATTTCAGTTTTCTTATCATGAAAATACGATCACCAAATTTGTTAAGAATTTTAGTTGATATAACCTTTAGATCACAAATAAAACTGCAGATATAGTTGTTGGATAGAGGTTAAGCTTCAAAGTCTGGCCTTTCTTGATACTTCTTATTTTCTGTTCCTTTTTCCCTTTTTCTATTCATAATAAAAATGTTATGTAGTTAGCTTAAACAATTTTGAGTGAAATGAACTACTTCATCTCCTCACTTATAATCTTCACAATAGTGCTTGTAATGTATGTGTTCATAGTAATCACTGAAACTCATATATCTAATGTGAAGATGCTCTTTGCTCTAGCTGGTGTTATATTTTGCAGATAGAATATGCCATCCCTCCAAATTCTCTGGTACGGCCGAGAGTAGGGAGAGTCAACTCTCCCTCTCGAAATGCTCTCATATGGCCATGTGCATACAACTACTGTCAGGGAAGTCCCGCTCATCGCCTTCTCATAGCATTACTGTTGTTTAACAAAATTGAGAGGACGTAAAGTGAATGTCTGACACTTCCACCGGGTTCGTGGATATGGAGAATCTCCCTAGGCGAGTTGGCAAACCCTGCTTACAAACCAATGATGAACATGATCTCCAGTGTTCTGAGGGAACAAATGGTGTGTGAACCTATTGTTGGTTACCGACTACCATGAGACTACATCTGCTGACGTTGCTCAATTGCCTTATGGATTAGATGTTGAGGTCAAAAGCTCTGTGTGTGGCCGCGTAAGAAAACCACGTGGTTCGGTTTTTGCACTCGTTCAGTATCCCAGCCCATATATAAATCGAATGATTTGTGTGGCGCGTATCTGTTTGATGCTTCCTTGTACGAATGTTTATGTGTTGATATAAATAAATAATAAATCTGCCATACTGTGATATATGCATCGAAATCAAATAATATTTATAGATTTCTTGGAAAAGTTAAATACTTTGTAAAACGTCTTTCTTTTTCTACTGTACATCTGTAAATTCAGATATAAAGGAACTACAGTTTTCTAATGAGGATAAAAAGAAAAGTTACAGTTGTGACCTAACCACAGATACATCCACATCCTCCAAATCGGATAGTAATACATCTTCAACAATAAATGTAAATAATATATCCCCATTGCCTTCCTCATCGTCAACCTCATCAGTCATAACAATATCAACTACAAGTACAAATACTCGAATAAAAAATCAAAATGTATTGAATAATTCAACAACCTTTGGTTCACGTAATCGAAGACAAGATTGGTGTAAATGGCCTATTTGTATTCAGTACCGAACAACTGGTTATTGTCTAGGATATAATCCTAATGGTACATTACCAGCATCATCACAAATGTGTCAAGCTGCTCATATTGGTCCAAATGATCAAGTACCTTTATCATCAGATGGTCAAGTTAGGGTTTGCTTTGATTCGATGGGATTAGTAAATGTGAGAAGACAAATTATTTTTCATAAACCACTGTGAAATTCCTCAGCATGGTTTTAATTGTCATTCATTAATATCTTGATATGAACTTAGATAATCTAAGAACTAATATCGGACAATATATGCTGTAATTCGTCGAGGTATTGCAAATTACTGTCACTGATAACAGAAGTTTGTTAACAAACATAATCAAAATGACTGAGAATATTATATTTACTTCAAGATAATAATGTACATTCGAACATTTGGGTTATGATTCCGGACCTAAAGCACCTCTCACTATTAAGTTTAATTTCTTTCCACCATCAAAGAAAGTATCAAACAAAACATTCAGACTCTAAATATTGTCACTTACATAAAAATGGAATTTTTAACTACATAACACAGATGACAGATAGCTCATAAACCAACAGTTTATTTGATTAGATCTCCATAACAAATAACTTTCCTTTACTAAAGTAGGGTAAACACCCTGAACATTCTGGTCTCTACATCTGAAAGCCCTGAGTTCAACGTTTGATATAATCATGAGCATGCACTAGTGAGAAGCAAACAACTGGGAATAAACAATTAGGAAGCGTCCCCTGTACTCTCATGGTTATCTAACTGGAGTCAGTCAGTAACGAAAACGGCCTCAATATTGGATAGTTATAGTACAGATAAATGTTGTAAAGGTTTTTAAGCTCTATAAGAAGGTCCCGTAGTTTTGTGCTTCAAAAGTTGTTTGGAAACCTTTCTATAACTCGTTTCTTTAGAATCGATAAAGAAAATAATTTAGGTAATTACAAGTCGCTCCAAAGATCCGGATTAACTATACTTATTTGAAAGTGATAGTAGGCATAAATAAGGCATGTTTGCGATCCACAGAATTGCATTTTACTTTAACCTAACATTTCATGATTGATGTAAAATCATAACGTCTTGTAAAAAGAAAGATTCCTAGTTGTTCAAACCAAAGAAAGTGTGACAGATTCACTTCAACATGTACAACAACAATAACAACAACAACAACTACTACTACTACTACTACTAGTTCTACCACTGCTACCATTGACCTATTGGGAATCGTCAGCACGGTTTACAAAATCTGAACCATTCGTTATGATGATGCTTCTAGCGGCCCAGAAGCTCTTTTCATGTTGAAATTAGTGTTTCTTTCATCTCTTCCCAGTTGTCCTTCATAGTAACTTTCTCATTGAGTAGACCTTATAGGGGGTAATATGTTGTTGAAGGCCATCTCGTATTCGTTGAGTTTGTCAGAATCTCGAAAAGGACGTGTAATGAGCCTCTGTAATGCAGTTTTTCCAGTTGTCCAGTGCTTTCTTGGTTTGGGTTTAGTGTTGACAACTTCCAGGCTGTGATCCGAAGCTACGTCGACAATTCCTCCCCTGGCTCTCACGTCTTCCAGTGACCTTCTGAACACCTTGGTGATGCAAATATGGTATATGTGATTGTCCGTGTTTTGATCCGGTGATAACTGTGGATCCATGAGATTCCTATCCTATGAGTGATCTAAGTGCTTCTTTGGACAGCATCAATCCAACTGTCTGAGTGTGTGAAGCATATTCTTCTTCGTGACTAGAGTCCAATCTTTTCTGTCCAGGTTTAGTCTAATGGATTTCACTTATTCCGAGAACCACCGACTTGCGTTTCCTAATTTCTGAAGCCAATTTGTTTGTCGTCTGCTTTCAATACCTATGAGATGGAATTTAACTTCTGCTTAGTGCTTCATAATAGAATCTATGTAATCTTATGGTTTGTTAAAGAGAACCACCAATTTGTATCTCCTCATTTCCTTAGATATTTGATTTGTTCTCCCCGTCTCTTATATTTTTCTGACATTCCATGTACCCATATTGTAGTGAACATGAACACCAGTGGGGACAATCGGATGTATTTGAGCACAAAATTACAGAGCATCTCAATCAAATCTGAGAAACATATAGTAAGTGCTTAATTTGCAAAATGTCCATCACTTGTCTTAAAATGACTCAGATTTCATTATTCTTGAAGACTCATAAAATTACTTTCTGTTTCCATTGCTTACTGTTCGATCCTCTTGTCTCTCTGCTGCCAGACATTCTGTTCCTGACTAGCGTCATATACTACTTATATCGATATAAGTAGCACACGCCACAATATTTAATTGTTGCTCTGGTTTTTAGATTGGCCATCGACCTCGTGACTTCCGATGAATCTGAGATGTCACCATGAGTCGTCATAATTCTTTCTTCAAATTCTAGGACAGAGTTGAAATAGTCTAAACTGTTTTTTTCTGGTAAGCGTCATTGTAATATGGTTATTTTGTACAGAATGTGAGTTTTGATCCCATGCCCAACCCTATTTTATTTACACGTGTTTGATCCCTGCAGTAATTATAGATGGATTACAGACGGATTCGAATTCAACGCTGAACTATCTTGACTGTGATTGCGCATGTCCAATTCTATCTATAAGGTTTATTTTCTTTTTTATAATTTAGCTTACTTGTAATCGATCTGATTGCTATTTTTATCATCCACCGAAACTAATCAGAGATAAAATTGTCGCTAAACGACACGCGCAATATCTTCGTGAAAAAGTAATTCGTGACGCTTCGAAATCTCGTAAACTTAATGGTCTACTAACGTTTGAGCAAAACATAAATGCTGGTAATAATATTACAAGGATTTCGCAAAATAAACTGACAACACCAAATAAATCTTGTAATCAATCAGTAGTTCCTCAGGAGTTAATTAGAATAACGGATATTCATTCATCATCATCAGTTATTAACAGAGATAATTTACATAATTTTTTACATGATTGCCATGCTGATTCCATACAGTTGACAAATCCAACTCACCATCTTCTACAACAACACTCACTCCCATCCTCATCACTTCCACTACATCAATCATCACAGCTAAATCAACAAACAAATTTCAATCCATTCATTCATTGTGGTACAACGAATCAGTCAAATTCCCATCTAATCCCCAACAGTATTTCTTCATACTTATCAAATATTTTGTTGAGTAATTTACTTTACATTCCACCATCTAGTATTAATTCAAGTTTATTCCTACCTAATCCTCGTCCAGTCCTAACAAATACAACAAAATCTCAATTTCCCGATATAAATCTGTTCTGTACACCAAATCAAATTGATTACGAAAAGTTGTGCAATCTAATTTTGTTAAATTCTACACCGTTAACACAGCCAATTTATTCGTCGAATTTAGTGAGTTTGAATGAACACTTTCAGTTATTGTTGTTAGTAAATCAATAGGTTGAGGTTCATTAAGAAATCAATGCAATTCTGACATACTTACTTAGCACTGGAGCCAGGGTGGCCACAAATGCTCTGGCCTTATGCAGAGGTTCACCAATGCACTCCAGTGTGTTGAAGCCTGCGACGAATCCTAGTCGTGCTCGCTCAGACGCTAGCCACTATCCATCTTTGCTTTAAAAAGCTTGTGAATTCAGGCTATACCGAGACAATCTGCACAGAATGCACATATACAAATAAAAGACTGATCAATTTCAGTCCTAAATAACAAAGGGAAGATACAAGTCAAACAAAACCAAGAGAATTTTGCATATACATAGTTTCATTTTACTAATTCATAAATGATAAGATCAATAATTTGAGTAGAATAACATATTCATTTCATTTTGTAACGTTCTCATCACCTGCTATGAATGAGGTTGTAGATGCTTTTGAGTATGAGTGAAGTTGGTCGGATCTTAATGTAAGCATATTTGTATAATATAGAAAATATTTGAATATTATTCATATACAATAAATTCTGTTTCAAATAAATATCATATGGAAGAGATAGATATCAAAGTAATAAAACTAGGTAGTTACACAGTTAAATAAATGAATATGAGTAAATAACACCTACAAACAAAATGGAGTTCGACCGGGTCTCTTGTGAGATATTAACTCACTGATGACAATGGTGGATGTGTCGCTCAATTTCGTGGATTAGTTGAAGTTAGAGAATAACACCACTGGATGCCAACCAGCTCAGTGATCTACTGAGTGAAGACACATAAAGTCTTTTAAATGTAGTGATTAGCAACTTAGAAATAGTTACGATGGTTTAAATCACAAACTGACCTTAGTTAAACTATGAGGCCTAGCAGTCTATCTCAAACCTCAAGATCCTGTTTATATTCCTAAAGGTATAAGTCCTAATGGTCTGAATAGAACTAATTTTTTCTGAAAAGCACCTTGATATTAGTTATAAATCAGCTAAGATTAATAAATGCTCAAATAAATCGTGTCTAATTAGAATAACTAAATTTCAAAAGAATATATTAGTCTGTTAAGTCGGTAGATGTCGGTTCCAGTCGTGCTTTGTCTTATTTTTAACTGCGGAACTAGGTGACTGTGTTTATCCATTTTCAAGTGAACACCATTTTCTACATAAATTTATCAGTTGGTCTGGCCTGATGTATTAGCAACAAACATAAGACACAGGTCAAAACATTTAGTAATCTTTAAATGTATTGCTTTCTTCCCTTTTTCTTTTGTTTGTTTTAGACAACTTCATGGTCTAAATTATTGGACACATTGATTATGAATAATCCGTCATTATTCTTAGCTAATATACCACAAAATACTACTATACCAATTAATTCACACGCTAACTGTTTAACGTCTCAATTCGTTGATTCAATCCTACCATTCAATTATTTATTGAATGTACCATATTCATCGACAACAAATGAAATAAACAATACTTTACCAACAGCATTATTTCCTTTAAATCAAGGAATTGAATTACTACCACATGTAGGAATGACAAATACTGTTGAAAGTCAATCTAATATATCCTCCATTAGTTATTCTTCAGCAATTTCACAATCATATGTAATGTCATCGCCCCCATCATCATCATTATTACTATCGAATACACCGATAAATCCAGAGATTCTTCTACAAAACTCTCAATTCTTAATACCAATCGACCATACATTAAATGTGAAGTTAAACACTACTACAACAAAATCAACTGTTATAACTACATCAATAGGATCACCAACATCATTATCAACAACAACAACAACAAACAATGTTTCCATCATTAATTCTACTTAGATAATATTAAGCAAATATAGATTATGGATGAATTTGGTTCAGGGATTTTATTCTCTAATTTTGTTCAATTCATTTGATCATTAATTAAAATTAGATTGTCGTATGAACAAGAAATGTGTAATTAATAAGAAATTTTCGTTTAAATTTGATCGAATTGTTTTACAGTATTTAGGTGCTGAAATGTCGATATTTGTTTCCTTGAAAAAGCTTGGATGAGATTACCAAGTGAAACGCTAGATCTACATTGAATTTATCCGCTGAGATTTTACAAATGCATTTTTCCACTGAAATAATTCATTATTATAGTGAAAATATTTCGTTAGATGTTTAATAATGACATAATCAACAGTAATAAATTGAATAAAATAAATTTAATATTCAATATTTTAAAATTCTTTAATTGAAACACATCAATAGGTGAGATCATGAGTCGATTGAAACTCGACTATAATGGTAAACCTGAAAGCACTGGACGGCTTGGCAGTGCACATTCACGAACCAACCTCATGAGATTCGAACCCACGACCTATCAGCCTCCTGCGCGAACGCTTAACCAATTAGATCACTTAGTCGGCTGGCATCCAACGGTATTAATGTTTAACTTCAACTGATCCACGAAATTGAGCGACACATCCACCATTGTCATCAGTGAGTTAATATCTCACAACAGACCCGGTTGAACTCCACTGGTCACTGCTTCTCACTAGAACTCCAAGAGATACCTCTTGAAGCCAGTCATTAGTGAGCATGTCTTAATTAATATCACAAAAGCTTTTATTGGATATCATAGCAATTTTTTCTAACATATGAGATCATAAGACAATTGAAGCCAGACCACCACGAGAAACCTGGAAGAACTGGACGGCCGTTTTGTTACTATAACATGAACAAAAACCTCCTCTGAAATACAAAGATGAATCAGTATCTATAAATGAATAATAATTGAATATTGTGAAATGATAAAAATCAACATGACTTAAGGATAAGTCATGATAAATTACAGCCCATATTTGATTCCAATTCTTATTATCAAGTACCATATTCAGAAATACTATCATTAAGGTTTTCAAGTTAACAGAATTATCTTACATGACTAGGAGGATGACAATAAATTGTTCCTTTGGAATGTAAATATGGTTTCTGAGAAATGGAGATTAACATGAAATTAATGCAATTAGTTCCATTTGATAAATTTCGATAATGGAATATGAAGATGAAGTTTATCAGGATTATGTGATGATATATTAGCACAATACATTTCGAATAATCGGATCACACATTATATAGCTGCAAAGAACATTCATACTTACTTACTTACTTACGCCTGTTACTCCTCGTGAAGGAGCATAGGCCGCTCACCAGCGTTCTCCATCCAACCCTGTCCTGGGCAATCCTTTCTAGCTCCGTCCAGTTGTAATTCATCCTTTTCATATCTGCTTCTATTATCCGACGCAATGTGTTCTTTGGCCTTCCTCTTTTTCGCTTCCCTTCAGGATTCCAAGTTAGGGCTTGCCTCGTGATGCAGTTTGACGATTTGCGTGATGTATGTCCTATCCATTTCCATCGTCTTTTCCTAATTTCTTCTTCAGCTGGAAGTTGGTTTGTTCTCTCCCACAGAAGGCTGTTGGTGATGGTATCCGGCCAATGGATGTTGAGTATCTTGCGAAGACAGCTATTTATAAATACTTGTACTTTCTTGATTGTGGTTGTTGTAGTTCTCCAAGTTTCAGCTCCATACAGTAGAACTGCCTTGACGTTCGTATTGAAGATTCTCACTTTGATATTGGTTGAAAGTTGCTTTGAGTTCCATATGTTCTTCAATTGTAGGAATGCGACCCTTGTTTTGCCGATCCTCACGTTTACGTCTGCATCTGAGCCTCCTTGTTCATCGATTATGCTTCCCAGATATGTGGAGGATTCTACATCTTCCAGAGTTTCGCCATCAAGAGTGATTGGATTGCTGTTCTCCGCTTTGAATTTGAGGACCTTAGTTTTCCCTTTGTGTATGCTGAGGCCTACTGATGCGGAAACTGCTGCTACACTGGCTGTCTTCATCTGCATCTGTTCGTGTGTACGTGATAGGAGGGCTAGGTCATCTGCGAAGTCCAAATCGCCTAATTGATTCTGATCTGTCCATTGTATTCCGTGTTTTCCTTCAGATGTTGAGGTCTTCATAATCCAGTCGACCACCAGGAGAAAAAGGAAGGGCGAGAGTAAACAGCCTTGTCTGACTCCGGTCCTTACTTGGAATGCATCTGTCAGCTGTCCTCCATGCACTACTTTGCACTGTAGTCCGTCGTATGAGTTCCGGATTATATTGACAATCTTCTCAGGAATTCCGTAGTGTCGAAGAAGTTTCCATAACGTCCTCCTGTCTACACTGTCGAATGCCTTTTCATAATCAATGAAGTTGATGTATAGTGATGAGTTCCACTCAACTGATTGTTCGACGATGATCCGTAGTGTTGCAATTTGGTCTGTGCACGACCGATCCTTACGGAATCCAGCTTGTTGATCTCGAAGTTGGGCGTCTACTGCATCCTTCATCCGGTTCAGCAACACTCTGTTGAAGACTTTCCCTGGTATTGACAGTAGTGTTATGCCTCTGTAGTTTTCACATTTGCTCAGATCTCCTTTCTTTGGAATCTTGACGAGGTGTCCTTCTTTCCAGTCCATCGGCACTTGTTCCTCCTCCCAAATCTTTTTGAATAGAAGATAAAGCATGCTTGTGGTTGTTTCGATGTCTGATTTCAGTGCTTCAGCTGGTATGTTGTCGGGTCCTGCTGCTTTGCCGTTCTTGATTTGTCTGACGGCCATTCTAATTTCTTCCGTAGTTGGTGGATTGACATCTATAGGAAGATCTATGTGTGCTGCTTCGATGTCCGGTGGATTCATTGGAGCCGGCCTATTCAGGAGTTCCTCGAAGTATTCTACCCATCTGTTACGTTGTTGTTGAATTTCGGTGATTGGCTTGCCTTCTTTGTCTTTGACCGGCCTCTCTGGTTTACTGTATTTCCCTGATAGTTTCTTCGTTGCATCGTAAAGCTGTTTCATATTTCCTTCTCTAGTAGCTTTTTCTGCCGTCGTTGCTAGTTCTTCCACGTATTTCTTCTTGTCGGCTCTAATGCTCCTCTTCACTTGTTTGTTTGCTTCTGTGTATTCAGCTTGTGCTTGGACTTTCTCTGCTCGTGTTCGGCTGTTGTTTATTGCTGCCTTCTTGTTCTTCCTTTCTTTGATCTTGTCCAGTGTTTCTGTAGAGATCCACTCCTTATGATGGTGTTTCTTAAGGCCTAGAACCTCTTGACACGTTGAAGTTAATGCTTCCTTGATGCCTTTCCAGTTGTCCTCCATAGTAGTTTCTTCTTTCAGTAGATCTCGTAAGGCTTGGAACCTGTTGTTGAGAGCTATCTTGAATTCATTGAGTTTGTTAGTATCTCGAAGGAAGGCTGTATTGAACCTTTGTATTGCTGTTTGTCCACTTGTCCAGTTCTTTTTTAGCTTCAGTTTTAAATTGGCCACAACTAGGTGGTGATCTGAAGCTATATCAGCACCTCTCCTGGTTCTCACATCTTCCATTGTCCTTCGGAATTTTTTGTTGATGCAAATATGATCTATTTGGTTCTCTGTAGTGTGGTCCGGTGAGATCCATGTAGCCTTGTGTATACGCTTGTGTGGAAATATTGTGCCTCCTATGACCAATTTGTTGAATGCACATAGATTTGCGAATCTTTCTCCATTTTCGTTTCTTTCTCCCAGTCCATGTCGTCCCATAATATCTTCATATCCAGTGTTGTCTATTCCGACTTTGGCATTTAGATCTCCCATTAGAATGGTGAGGTCCTTTCTTGGGCATTTCTCTATCACTGACTGCAGCCGCTCGTAGAATTGATCTTTAATTTCGTCGTTGCTATCATTGGTGGGTGCATAACATTGGATAATATTCATTAAGATCCCCTTCTTCTTTGTTTTGAATGATGCTTTGATGATCCTGGATCCGTGAGATTCCCATCCTACAAGTGCATTTCGTGCTACTTTGGACAGCATAAGAGCGACTCCCTGAGTGTGTGGAGCATTGTCCTCTTCGTGACCGGAGTATAGCAGCATCTCTCCCGTAGCTAGCCTTTTCTGCCCAGCTTGGGTCCAGTGGGTTTCGCTGATTCCCAGTACTGCTAAGTTGTATCTCCTCATTTCCATTGATATTTGACTGGTCTTCCCGGTTTCCCACATTGTTCGAACGTTCCATGTACCTATAAAAATTTTTGCTCTGGTTGTTAGGAGGGGCATCGGCCTCGTGGCTTCCGAAGGAACTCGGCTTTCACCATGAAGCGTCATAATTCTTCTAAATGAAGACCTTCTAACTCCCAGGGCAGAGTTAAAATGGTTTGGATTATTTTTTCTGGTAAGCGTTTTTTTAGCGAGTTCGTTTTCTACGGGATGGGGACGCTAACCCCATGCCCAACCCTCCTCCTTTACCCGGGCTTGGGACCGGCAGCAACCCTATAAGAGCTACAGGCGGAGTTAAAGAACATTCATATGTAAACATAAAAGGTCAACTAAACTAGAAGTGAAGGGTAAGAAGAGACAAGGTTAATAAAGAAAATAATATGAAAAAAACGATTTGAAACCTGATCACACTGGATAATTAGCTAATATTACCAGAATAGGTTCAAGATGAGAACAAATGGTTTTCGAATACACAAAGGATGTTTGAATTTTCGTATGGTTAAGGCCCTTTCACAATACCACAAAAGCTGAGTTAACATCAATCTGATGACTTGTTCTAATTATGTGTTTGATAATATAGGCTGATGCATGTTCATCACCTACCCATATTGGGTCATTCGATTCTATTTGTTTCTACAACCATTTAGGTACATGTTCACACACTCTAATTTTGAGATGACGATTACTCTTCACAATGTATGTGTGGTCACACACTTAAGTTGGTAAACACAATGGGATGTGACGTAGTCGTTTTGTCGTCTTTTGAGTGTTCGATGCAGTATTAACCTTGTTGTTTCCTTGATAATGACAGTTGCTGCACAATATGTCGTTCTAATGACTGATTTAAGCCTTTGCTTCAATCAAAGGCTATTTCACTCACCTCCAAATGCTAAG